TGATTACTTAGAATAATTATGGAGAGCTGCAAGGATTTACTTTAACTTCGGTTTGCTCAATCAACTCTTCTGATTATAACTAGTGGCAGATGGACCTGCTTCAACCCGGAGGAAACGAAGTACCTTGTTGCTGAAGGAGTCGCCAAGATCTTCAGAAACTACGACCCAAGCACCTGAGGCTTCATTTAAGGCAATCTAAGGGTTCAATGACGAGTCATTGGGTGTTGGGAAGTGTTCTATCGACTTAAATACTTAAATGCCCGAAATTTAGAGCGATCACAAATACTGTAGTTCAATTTGGGATTGATCCCGTGTTCTCGTCCCAGGATGACATGATTTCATGTAGGAAGTGAATTCATGTAAGACGAGAATTAATCATTTCCAAGGAAAAGGTTAAAAAAAAAACACTTTTTTTTAAGGATTCCTCCTAAACGCAATTACCGTTTTGGATGGGTTCTTTTCATCTCTTAATTTTCGCATTCAGCCGAAGAAAACCCTCTTCCCTTGGCAAGGGTCACGGGCATGGGGCCAGCATGTAGCGAATTCGTCTGGTTGGTAATACTCTATTCCCTTTCCTGGGATAGTCTGGTGGAGAAGTGGATACAATCACACATCAAATTTGACATCATATCTGTAGTTATCCGATTTTAGGAGTCAGACACGCCTTGCACTGAATTGCCATAGGAGCGAGAACGTGCACTCAAATATTTTCTTTTTCTTTCTCATCTCAAGTAATATTGGAAACAGAACCATCATCCGTTTCTCTCATTCGAGCCAGAGTGTTCTGGAGACTCTTTGGACTGGGGTTACCTCTAAATACAGATATGTTGCAAAATAAGAATTTCTTCTGTGAGCGACGCCAGAGTTCCCTTTCGACTACCTCGAGCAACTCTCGTCTCCTCGTCCATCCGAGAGATGGTGATAGGAGAGCCAAACTCTGATTTTCCTTGAAAGTTGCTTCCCTTTCGTGAGGTCGACTTGCAAACTTCATTTTGAAAAGGAACATCCTCGGATGTTAATGAATATTTCTATTGAAACCCTAAGTTCATATCTCTAAGCGTTTGACCTATACAGCTGTCACACACACACAAAAGCACCTATTTGTCGCTTGGCCTAGCTAGCGATTAGGATCGCGCACGATATATGTTCGCCTCCGGTTTGAATTTAGCTGAATGAGGTACTGACCCTCTATAGCGGCTACATTGGCGTCATCTAGCGTCAGTTGTGAGCCTGACATGGTTGTGGCTAGGAACAAACGAATGTTTGTTTTATAGCCTATTCCCAAGTAACATATGAACGTCCTCTTGAACATTCATGTGTTTCTTGGGAATAGGCCTGACTTATCTCTAATCTCCCTCGATTGAGGCATTCATGCCCTGCACATGCCTTCGTGATTTTTCGTCAATGGCAAGAAATACAGAAAAAATTACAGACTTTGGGTTTCCTGACTTTACGATCACCCTGTATCAAACAATTGCACGTTTTGTTCATACTATACAAGATGGACCCTTCCTGTATTGCCCAATTATAGTTCAACACTTGCACGATATTTGTAGGAGGATGCGTCTCAGTACACAAGTGTCAAGCCAGAATTTGTTTTGTCATTCAGTTTCAAGTATGGTGTTTACGTTGAAGCAGCATGTTTTCCTTGTTGAGACTAACCTGAATCAAAAAAATTGACCAACTGTGCCAGGAAACATTTCGAAAGAATTCCAACATTCGCGTGGTACCAAGTAAGTCTGCAATCTGGAAGCTGGAAGCGATTTCGTGACACAGGAAGCGTTCTCGGTACACCTCGCAGCCTCGAGACCAAGTTTATCGGATGAAATTTTGGACGACTTCCGGATCAGATTTGAACAGAGCAACAAACTGCAAGCCGCATGTTTGAGCTGTGTTCAAGGAACGGGCGATCTCAGAAGGGAAGTCCCTCTGAGATCGCCCGTTCTGAGATCGGCCACGGAATTTTGTGGATGACCATGCTTTCCTATTCTGGACTCTGCCGTTTAGTTTTTTTTTTCGAAAATATACATTAAATATTTGCCCTCAGGGGCTTGAATGCCACAACTAAAATACATTTTATAATTTTCCCACTTTGAAGGTAAAATGTCTTATTCACTTGCATGAATCATCCACACTCTGGGTATTATCACACTCCCAGAAGATTTGAGGACTCCTTGAGGTCTTCTTCCAGCAAGGTAGCATATATTGAATAAGAGGATGAAGCAGATGGAATTCCAGGGGGGAATGACTCAACCCTGCTGTGAACTCTAGTCTTCACTAACTCAAAATCCGCAACTAGTGTCTTCCAATTCCCCCCCCCCCTCCCCCAAGAGAAGGGGGAGAGAGTTCCTTAGTTCAACTTCTGCAGATGACAACTTGCTGCTGGTTTCTTTTTGACTGTCTTGGAAGGAAGTGTTAACTCACTGCCAGCTCTGGAGCTGCTTGGTATGAATGTATTCTTCCCGGTGACTTCACCTTTTTCGCGGCTTTGCTATATGCTCCTGGAGGAGAAAAGTGATTTATAGGAATATCGTTTCTTGTCAAAGTGTTCATATGAATCAGATGTTTCTTCACCTCTCCGAACATTCATGTGGGCAGCTTCATAAAGGTCTGCAATTGATGCGACATAAAATTCAATGAGACACGAAGCTCCATTATTGGAGAAAGTACAGAACGTCATTGATGGAAATATGTCATGGTAGGCTCATATCACAGAGTAAATTTTTCTAACCGGTGGCAATGTAACTAAGGGCCTGATCACAGTAGTAACTCATGAAACAAATACCCAGTTGATATATATTTTCATGTTCATTAGAGGGATTTTCAAAATTATCTTGAGTGTTCAAAGAACAAAACCTTATTCCTGAGTAAAAGCTAAAAAAAGAGAACACCTCTTAGGATTATAATGACCGGTACATATATTTAATCACCCCTGTTGCATTAATAGTTCCATTCATTGTCCTCTCACACTCGGCATCTCACAACTCTTGCAAAAGCTTAGCTTCTGAGATGAATCCCCACGGTATTTTTCCATTTCACTGGGTTTCTTCTTTCATGCATATATAATGCAATGACACATGGAACTTGCCCAATATTTATGATGAGACCAAGTCTTGGCCAAAATTAAATTGTACTACTTCGAAAAATGGAGACCCCATCGATAGTAACATGCAGTAGTAACATAGTTGTGTTAATGATAGCATGGCCATGAACCACTATCAATACATTCAAGGTGACTATTTATCCAAAGATATACTGTACATAGAACCCGTCTCTAATGCATTCCAAGAAAATATTACCAGAAATTTGGAGCAAGGTTTTGCCACCCTTTGAAGGGAGTCATGCCCATAATATTGAAAGAAGTTCATTCAAGCAAGTTCTAGACACAGGAATCTATATTGCCCATTTTATCAAGGATTTCTTCAAAGACGGTGCAGGTAGAGGGACCCTCAATGTCTTCCTCTTGCATATCCTCTTTAGAATCCCCAATAAATTAATGTTGACTACAGCTAGTAATAGCAGTATCACTTGCTCCACGAGAGAGTTTAGGATTCGTGCTTCCCAGATTGGGCAGAAGGTGTAGACGTTGGTCAGAATTAGCAGGGGGAAAATCGAAAGTGTCTTCAACAAGATCAACAGGAAGTGCAGCTGGTTCCATGTGGTCAACTTCATCAGTGGAAACTGGATTATGTCTAGGCCTAGAAGGCACTAGAGGATGTCATAATAAAATCGGGACTAAAATATTGTAAACCGCAAGCTTCAACTAAGAAGTAATATGAAATTGGGCACTGTGTTCACCACAAACTTATTGAAGGACTGGATTCAAATATAACACTACTTCAAGCACCTGAAGTACAATGTATCATTAAATATCAAAGCACCCTACGCATACTTCTTGGTCTCATGAAGAACGCATTTGCAATGAAAAAGGTAAGTTCCATGGAAACAGACAAATATTGAAAGTGAGAAATTTTATTTCACACCACCAGAAGTAACATGAAACCACAATAAAAACTGCCCATGACTCAAAGAGTTTTACATCATTGGTAGGTGTAAGAATAAAACACCGAAGCTTAAAATGCATAATACATTTTCTTTGAGCTTCAATGGCTGGAGGCGCGTCCGTAGCGAGTTCATTTGCCCGAACGGCAAACAAACTTGCAAGTAGTACATAGACCGGCATCGCTAAGTTGAAGCTTCCGCCACGTGCTTGAAGGTCATAACAGCACTACCCTAGCCAGCTACGTTCCCACCCAAGCTCCACGTCGGATCTACGTGTATCTACGTGGTACACACATAGAAGTTTTAATGAAATCTTGACGGAAAAGTTTCTTTCTCTTCATGTATTTATTGCATGGGAAAAAAAGTTCCTAGAAATACCTCACGATGAGAAGTTAACTTCAAGACCCGATATATGGACTTCCTGGCAATCGATATGGCAGACGGTTCTTTTAAAAAATGAATGCAGGTGCCTGATCCTCTACTTAGAGTGCTAGCATCACTTCTAATTGCCATTTTTTACGATTCCCTCCGATCTGAATCTCCAAAGGCCCTCATCGTCTTGGAAAAAATTATTTGGAGCACTGTAGGCGTTTAATTCTTTCATATTCGGGAACGATGTTGAGTAAGGTTGCACAGTTTCCCCCAAGATTTTCGCATTCGAAGATATCATTTTACTATAGTTTCAAACCATTTACTCAGCATGCCGTGAGTGGAAGAAGAAGTATCACGAATCCTCTCATACTTTCGAAACTCTGCTTGGTGAGATGCCCACAGCCGAAAGTATCAATAAATCACTTCTTCTTCCCTTCAGCTGTAATTTCATCAACTGCAGGGGGTTGAATTTTGCACAAGCGGTATCGGAACGCGAATTTCGCCGAACCACAAGGCGAAACTTGCTGAAGATGATGTTATAGGTCTCTATCGGGCCGACCGACCGAATCGCATGACGCTAGCAGACGAAACATATAAAGAAAGCTCTTCGAACAAGGCGAGAGTGTATGCGCATGTGAGCCGCTTTCCGCCCATTTGGCTGGCGTACGGGATCGGAGGAGGATGCAGCTGCTACTGCGGGTCCTAGTTTCGTTTGTCTGGAGGGCGATGGGGATCATCACTACTCAGCGATTCCTCGCCCCCCTGCAACCGAACATGATCATCACTTCGCCGGTTCGAGAACTCTTGGTTCTTTCGGAACTTCAGTGCGGCATGGCTTGCAAGCAGTGAGTGTATCGCAATTTGCCTGGAGATTAATACATTCCAAGTTGCTTTGGAATTACTACAATGTAGAACGTTTTATTACTCAATAAGTTTTTAGTGAGCCTTTTTTGACGGTCAATACGGAAAGCATATATACCAAACCTTTCAGTAACTTTAAAGCTACAGTCTTTGCCATCCGGGGGCTTTCCATTTGTCTTCTACTAAAACTCGTGCGACTCGTTCCCTCAAACACTTGAGTGCTATTTATTTACTGTAACTTTCAGGAAGAAAAAGAATACCTTAAAATGAAAGTAATTTTCAAAATAAAAAAGACACTTGGAAAAATTCAAAACCACATAATTTTTTCTTCATATGGAAAAAGTTAAACGGAGAAGTATTCAATTTCTAACTCAACCAATCGAATTTTCAATTTCTAAAAAAAAAAATGAAAGAGAATGCAACATATTCAAACGGAGACAGCCAAGCTGACACATCTTCAATTTTCTACTCAACGTTATTCAGGGTACAGTTAATTCAGTTCGAAACTCTTCCGCAATGTGAGTGAACATAATGGTAGAAGGAAGTGAGATATGAAAGCATTGGAATCATCTAAGTTTTTGCGATGTTTTCTTCATGCAGGAATTCCACGTGCTTCAGCTACTCTGTGACGCAGGCTTCAGGTACTTTTATATGCCGCTTCGGATACAGATTCGACGAACCGAGAACTGCTGATGCAAACAGCAAATTCTTCTACAGAGATGTACCAATACCCACAGGTTAAGTGAATTTCGTGAACACTTTTATTCTCGGACAGGGAAGTTTGGAAGTGCCCACTTAACTGCGAAGAGACCAGTCTTTTCCCAACACTAATTCTTTGTAATTTCATTTAATCATTATTAACGTATCCCTTTGAAGAAAGCCCAATTAGCCCTCTGGCATGCTTGTGATGCCTCCTTAACAAATGAGGTGGTACCTCGACATTCCTACTACGAAATATTTCAGTTATAAAAAAAAAACTTTTAAAAAATCCAATACTTGAAAACCACTGTGTTCCATTGAATAATTAAATGCCCGGTACTAGCTGAATGATGGAATACAAAATTTGCAACCGCAAACACTTCGGATAAACCGATGGAAAAAATCAGTCTATCTGTATATCGGGATGCTTTTATTTTCGATGATATCTGTTTCCCAAGTAATTTCCAGTCTCTTCAAGATAACGTAAGCAAGAATGCCAAATTCTCGATTTCCTGAAAGGGTACCACATTGTGCCGGGAACAAGGAGTTACGTGAAGATCACCATGACAAGCATCAACGCGATTGCGGCCGCGACCGCGTGCCAGAATGAGAACGCTCAACTCGCTTCCTCCAACAATGCAGCGGTGAACAGCTACGTAAGGCAGCTAAGGCAAAGTGTATCACCTGGCTCATATATATGGGTCGGCGGGCAGAGCGTCACCAGCACCTACTATTGGGTGTACCCAGATGGTGAGTCATCACTCTTCATTTGATCAGCGAGCCCACAACTCAGGCATTTCAGCGACGATGCGACGTTGTGTTCCTTCTTTCTTCATTATGATTGAAAATGATACCCATCAAAAGCATTTGAGCGCGCAAGTATCTCATTAATTGTAACAGGGGCTATAAATAATTTTTGCGAGGAATCTATCCACCCTGGTGCACGGAAATACAAGTTCGCTAGCACTAAACCCTTAAGTTGCTACGAGGTGATCATGCCGTCTTTTATCTATAGATGTTACTCTACAGAGAAATTTAGTTTCATTCTTGATGTTGCAAATGTTGCCGCAACATTTTTATGTATCAGGCATTCATGCAACAACTTGAGGCTTAGTATAAGAACACTTTGTATTTCGTTCCTCAGCCCTACAAGTTTTCAATGATGAATTAGCTTCCATGAAGTTTCATCCGGATAGGGGCGCACTTTCTTATGCTGTGAAAATATTCTCCTCTGATTTTCAGGCACCACACTGAATGTCACAGGCCCAGGCCAACCTTACTTCTGCTCAGTCGAACCTAATAATGTCCCTGGCCCTGGCAATTGTCAATGGATTTGGGATTATAGTGGCAATATTGGTTGCTGGAATGACCAACCTTGCGATAGCTATGGTAATGGATACTTCTGCGAAATCAAACTACCGAATTGATCCAGCAAGTGGAATTCGATGACGCATCTGAAGATCAGGGCGATCAAAAAAATCCGTTCCTATCGTGAATTGAGAAATTCCTTGCCTGAATTTCTGATTGTTGTCCGTGTGTTGTACGGGTTGCAGGTGATGGGCGAGATTTAAATTACGTCAATTTAATCACGTTCCGGATGAGGAATCCAACCATATTCGGAAACTTTTTGAATGTGGAAAAGCCGGCTTTAAAAATCCTGAGTTCACATAACAGTTAGTGAATTAAAAACGATGGGTTCACACTTTCACTTGGAATCATGCTTCGAATAAGAGACATCGACTCTTTCTCAGATTTCTCGGAGTGTGTGAATAAATGTCAGCGTGTTCAAGCTGTGAAATTGCGGAGTATGTCCTGCAATGCAAAAACATGAAGAAATTCGATTACTCTCCCTTGATTCTTTCTGTATGGATCACCATGCCGGGCTCCTTCTAGAAACTATGGACCTCGTCATGGCATTGCTAAACCCGCAGAAAATGCTACGCAATAATTCCATTTATTACAACCGTTTATTTAGCTGTTTCTTTCAGGGGCATCAAGTAATTTATTAACATGAGATATGGGGTGGTTATATTCATGCGCGATTTCCAGGTGACTGTTGAGGATGTTGGAAAACTTAGGGTTTGTACAAGGTGCATAAACTTTTCGCAGGGGCTTGCATTGGGTCAATCCCTATTTCGAAGGAAGTAGGCTCTTGTTCTCCACCCCTTCTCTAATAAGTGGAGCATATTGCCAAATGTTTTTTTTTTCCATTTATGCTCAGCAAGCAATGACATCGAATGCATTTTCCCTTGTTTATTCAATTTGCAAAGACTTGGCTTTGGTGTACGGTGTGTCTTTATAGTGAAAAGTGTGTTTTACCTAACTAGACGTGCTATAAACGCATTTGCATTCTCTATCATGCGCATTCTATTGTCTCATTTCAAGTTGTGTCAAGCAGGTTTTCTTCTCCATGAACATGCTACTCTTATAACGATTTTCTGTATACTACGTGAAATATGGAAACTAATATATTTAATAAAGAGGAAATTTGGATATCATTTGGGGCTTTCTGCTCTTTCGAATTTTAAAAATAATTTTGTAGTCAACTTTTTCTGCTTTACATCCTCTTTTTTCCCTTTTAAAAACATTGAATCTCTAGTGTTCATGATATATGCAGAGCAATTTTCATTACATATCATTGTTTTGAATGTTATTTTGAGTAGACGAATTACAGTGCCTCTGAAATTTTCTAGAACATTGAGAATGCTGAAAAAGTTCTGTAATATCCCCAGTATCCCAAAGGATTGAATGAACATTAATTGATCGCTTATTCAACGTACGGATATTGATTCAATGCTTATTCTATGTTGACTCAATGTCATGTGCTACAGGAGATATCACATGGTACTTGGATTTTATCTTTCTCATCAGGAACCAATGTCCATTGACAATGAAAAAATGGTTAAGTATTGACCACAATAACCCTTTGTCAAGAAAGGCAAAAGTCACGAACTTTCCCTCACATTGGCATTAAGTCAGTCGCGAACTTAAATGAGTGATTATGTATTTGAGGTAAACATATTAAGCCCATAGTCGGGGGAGAAGCAACGTTGCTCCCTCGAGAAAGACGTCAGAATGACAGCTTTGCTTATACTCAGATTCCCTACTTTACGAAGGTGTCTGCTCACTTTGGAGCCTTCGTTACCCTTACAGAATGTCCACCGACATCCACTTGGCTTGATGCCCAGGCGGATTTGGAACCAAATGGGCGTCCCATCGGGAAGAAATCCAATTGGTCACTCGCACACATGCTTGGAGCCAGGTGCAACCACCGTAGATGGAATTTAACTAGATGGACATCGCTTCAACAAGAAATACGCCTAGGGGGATATTCACCTAGTTCTAAAACCATCTGGCAGGTAGATGTTTTTTTAAAAGGCATTTTGGAAACCCACAATGAAGTTAGATTTCCTTTTACAGTTTTTTTCCAATTGCTAAAGCCCTATTTCATATCTCAATGTACATTTTTCAAAACTTAACGTACGATCCGCAAAACGCTGCGGTCTTTTCTCATATCTATGCGTCCGGCAGTCAAAAGGGCGTCCCTTTGTCAAAATCAAAGTACGTTCTTCAATATTCTAACGTACGGGGTTAGGAACGTCTATGGACAGCCACTGTCCATGAAAATCGCACTTCGAGTTTCGCTTTTCGTACGTTAGCAATGAAATCGGATGTTAAGTTTTGTGAAAAGATTGCAGAGTTCAGGGATTTGTTCAAATTGTTTTGAAAACGGAAGTGTAGTTTTGAGAAACGGACGTTAGCAATTGGGAAAAACTGTAAAATATTCGCTTAGGCCGTTTCGTTCACGTCTTCGTATGCTACGTGTTCCGCGATATTTATGACAAAAGGGAAGTCAACCACGATAGGAGGATCTTTGAGGGGATGCTAATATATGGGATCAATGTGCGATTTCTGAAAGATGGTAATCTCATATTACGCCTGTTAGCAGTGAAAGAACTCACGAAGCGACATACCGGCGCAGCAATGAAAGCAATAATTGGTAGAGGTGCTGGAAGTGTAAGAGCTGTGTGAGGCAAACCTGTATAGCGTGACCACCGACAATGCGCCCAACACGGTGAAAGCAGTTGAGCTACTCGGTGAGGACGGCGAAGCGGTCTCAGAAAATCACACCATTGAAAGCGATGCTGCTCTCGATCGTCCTGAAGATTTTCTCCATAGGTGATATATGCATTTTGGTCTCATGTCTGTTAGTACCTTTCGATGCTCAGCTCGCCATCAAGGTGCACTCGATGACAGGGTAATACAGATCGTTATGTCAAAGGGAAGAGGAATAACCAAGAAACATCGAACGGTCAACGTAATGCATATTTTAAGGTCGGCGAAAGGAAAGAAGCCCATCATTGATGTCACGCGATGGAATACGACCCATGATATGCTAAATCGACTATTGTTGTTGCGGTCATTTATCGTCGATTTGGGAGGGGCAAATGCCAATCTGTTCTTGAAAGATTGGGGAAAAAAGAAGGGATCGTTGCTGCTCTTGAGCTGCCGGAAACCTAATCACGGAACTTTAAAGTGAGAACTTGGTTCCTAGCAATGTGTTGGAAAAATGGATCAAATGCAAGAACACAGAGAAGGTGAATGAGCCAGTTGCCAAAAACCTGATTGCAGCTATGAAAGCACGGGAGCAGACTCTCTGCTCCAACGATGGCTTCTTCGCTGGCGTTTGCCTTGACCCACGCTGCAAAATTCTCCTTTTTAGTCAGAACAAAGAACTTAAAACATAAGAAAGCAGCATTGTGGAAGGGGACTCCCACGAGCGTGAAAGAAATTCATATAGAGTCTCACAGGCGAAACTTACGGTATGTGGTAGAAAAATTACTTTAAGAAAGAGACGAGGGAAAAAGGCAAGCATGCCAAAAGAGCACTTCAAAAATGGCATTATTCAATCATTCGTATCGACTCAACTAATCCTTCCAAGAGGAAAATGCATCGATGTGGGAAAAGGAGGAAAATCGAACGCCCGAGCTCTATGATATTGCAAGAGTTGCTATGGCGACCCCAATGACTCAGGTGAGCGTTGAGCGGCTCTTTCCATCGCTCCGGTTCCTTCTTTCCTCGCGGAGTGGACTTTCTCAATGGAGGCCATATTTCTTCGTTTTAATCACCTTTGAATGAACACATTGCAATAAAATTCATTACAATACATTATTCGTGTTTGCATTGGAATTTTATTGATAACATTATAAACATTATAGCGAAGCGGAAAGCTCTGGAAAAGAACTTCATTGCGGCGATAACGTGATACAGGAACGGAACATTTTCCCTACAGTTCCGATCAAATCCTTTGTTTGCCTCTAAATTTAGCAGGATTGAACAACCTGTTCGTCACGAACCTCTGACGCCGGCAGCCAAACCTAATTCATTTCTCCCAAGGGATGATTCGGCTGCATGGAGTTGTGCAACACCGAAGCACCACGTTCAGCATTTTGCGTTCAAGTTTAAGTTGGACTCTGAAACGAACGAAGGCTTTTCGTCTGACGGAGCGACCTGCCAGCATCTTGCGACATGTTAAAAATATTTCGAACGTATGTTTTTCGTGCATTAACGTACATGGAGCGTATTGAAGGGGCTAGCAATAGGTTGGCTAGCAGCAAGAAGTGAAACTTAATACTTTTCAAAATAACCTTGTTTCTATAGCCCTCCACGCTTCCTCAGCATGAAAACCCAAGTGAGTCCCATGATGCTCTATGTGCCTGTGGAGGGGAGTAGAGGTAGGTAATGCGTGGCAACTTCATGGCCATGGTGCGTGCTGCCGTCATTCGACCTACCCATGGTCGAATACATTATTAAGCTGAATAAATTACTTGGGAATCTAGGTCTTGTCTCACAAGGTCAACAAATGCTTTGCGTTCTGCTCTTCAGTCGCCGCACGTTAACCTTCGGGAAGGAAACTGACAGGTGGCTTTCTTATCTCCACTGCTCGTAATTAATTTATGGCCGATTCCCAGCCTCGTTATTATGGTCATCGCATTTACCCGCAACCCCCCTGAGGATAAGCTACCTTATTACGCAAAAAGGCCTCATGTTTTTATTATTCGGTACTCTTTTATTTCTCCTTATACTTTTTGTTGATTCTCAGTCTTTGATTTGTACTTGCGGTCGCCGCGGACTAACAAGAGAATATATGTTCAGTTGGAATTTAAAAATTAAAAAAAAATGACGCCGCATGGCCAGTTCAGTCAACTTTCATTAATCTGGGCTTCAATGGACTCGTGATATTGTCCGGCTTAACTGCTCGTCCGGATTATGGATAGTCTACCGAGTGTATACAACGCTAAATATCGCTCTCGCCCGACAAATGTTAATTTGCGGTCCCAGAAAGAGCTTTCCAGCGAGCTTCACAACGACGTACCATTTCGTATTCAGCAACACTGACGATATTCTGTACTAGAACCTCTGAAAACCCATACAAAATCCAAATGCATCAACGGTTGACAGATATTACAGTTTTTCCCAATTGCTAACGTCCGTTTCTCAAAACTACACTTCCGTTTTCAAAACAATTTAAACAAATCCCTGAACTCTGCAATATTTTCACAAAACTTAACATCTGATTTCATTGCTAACGTACGAAAAGCGAAACTCGAAGTGCGATTTTCATATTTTCACGGACCTTTTTCGAAACTTAACGTACGGAAAAGGATACAGTTTTTTCCAATTGCTAAAGCCCTATTTCATATCTCAATGGACATTTTTCAAAACTTAACTTACGATCCGCAAAACGCTGCGCTCTTTTCTCATATCCATGCGTCCGGCAGTCAAAAGGGCGTCCCTTTGTCAAAATCAAAGTACGTTCTTCAATATTCTAACGTACGGGGTTAGGAACGTCTATAGACAGCCGAGAAGCAGACCAGGAAAATAATTCATCCGAATACGGAAAGGCGATAATGTAATAATGTAATACTTTCAAAGCCTAACGTACCCGTGTCAAAACTGTGCGTACTGCTGTCGAGATTCAATTTCCGCTCTCCAAAAGGGACAACAGAACGTCCTACAATCAATTTCTAACGTAACTGGAGTCAAAACTTAACGCACCATCGGCAAAACTCTCCGGACGATCCATTGCTGTGAATGGGAAGGCGAGGAGTCTCGCGGATCGATGCCCGCCCTATCAGCCATACAAAGCGAAACCGACCAGAACCTCCCCAATGTCTTTCAATGGAGCGTACGTTACTCTTTGAGGCAAGGACGTTAAGTTTTGACGTGAGTGCCTTAAATTCGCTCTAAAGGACACCAGCAATGTATTCTATCAGAAAGTTTGTTTCGGTGAAGGACGTATGGCACGTATGCTGTATGACAATTTTAAATATAATTCATGGCGCTATATCTGGCTGATGGCGTGCTAGTGCCAATAAACTGAAGTCATTTCTCTATTAAATTTGTTCATGAACTATTTTTACAGTTTTGCAGATCATACACTGAGGACCTATTATCATCAACGTCTATTCAGACAACTAACACATTATAGGTTCGGTTCTCGAGTGGATATGTATTCGCCGGGTGTTTCAACAGTGATTAACCAGGTGAAGTCAATGCAGATTTAATCCTATGAAAGCCATCCAACAGCTCATAGAGATTATTTCATGTGAGATATTTGGAGGAGGTGCTGCTCGAAAGCACACAAATTCGCCTCTCCCATTCTTCCCCTCTCACATCCGTTAAATGGGGAATAGCACATTTCTGCACCACAATAGATGCCTCTGCGATCACGGTTTCTGCCTATTTTTCTGCCATTTTCTCAATTTCCTTTCCACACCCTAAAAAAGTCACACTGTTATTTTGAGAAGTCACTTCTTGACTTATGTCATTAGGAAGCGGATTTTTATGAGCTAATAAGCCCTAAAATATGCATATGCGCTTAAAA